TCATACCAAAAGACGTTAAAATATGATACTTGTTGGACCCTGCTTGGCGCTCAGCATTAATGGGTACAACAAAGACTGGTCGGCTCGGAGTCAGTATAATGTGTCTGAGTGGGGTATTCATGCTTCACTGCGGCATGGTATCTCAGTGGGCTAGCACTATAAAACCAGCTTTAGTCTGGGCTGGTACAAGCAGCCAGTGACACTAGCACTACACGCATGCACATCGTCATATGAGCAAAATATTCTCAAGCATGACGTTAAACCCAATTTCACCTCACCTCACCTCACCTCACCTATTTAACTGACACATCTTGATATAACTGGAACAGCCTTCAAAGCTGCATGAGGAGTAAGAAGTTTTCAAAAGTATACCTACAATTGTAAATTTTGAGTGTAATCAGAACTACAACAGTATTTTTTAAGCCTTGTACAATGTGACATGATCTACTTTCAAATAGAAACCATAAGTTCCTCTGTTTTCCTCCCAAAGTATACGGACATGCTCTGACATAATTGACTGACTGACTGATTGAAATACTGTTCATGCCAGTGTGGAACCATTGTGCCCATGTGGGAATCGAACTCCGAGATCAGCTCTTTACTCAAGATTTGGTAGAATGTTTCTCTTCCAGTTCTACTGCATCTAGATTTGGTAGAATGAGTTCTACTGAGTGAATATCCTGTGCAGTAGTCCACGTTGTCTTGGCTAAACATCTCCGCTTGCCAGTATTCATGTCTGGTTCAGACACATCACTGTCTGCCTGATCACCCATCCCTGATATTGTTTGTCTGCCATTTAATGCTGCATTCGATAATATTCTATTTAAAGGACAGCTGACTGTAAATATTCTCGCCTGGGTGCTGTTGTTAGACAACAGTCCAAGGCTCCTGGACAATATACACGCATCAGACAACAGGTTACAACAACAAATATATATCATAACCCACAATCTCAAGTGGGTATTATTGCCAGGGGTTTAGATCTTTGTCCTGACAAGGCAGGTGAGGTGAGGTGAAATTGGGAATAACGCCGTGCTTGAGAATATTTCGCTTATATGACGACGTGCATGCATGTGTATATGTATGTGCGGCTGCTTGTACTAGCCCAGACTGAAGCTGGTTTTATAGTGCTAGCCCACTGAGATACCATGCCGCAGTGAAGCATGAATACCCCACTCAGACACAGTATACTGACTCCGAGCCGACCAGTCATTGCTGTACCCATTAATGCCGAGCGCCAGGCAGGGACCAACAAGTACCATATTTTAACGTCTTTTGGTATGACGCGGTCGTGGATCGAACCCGCGACCTTCCGCTCTCCGGGCGGACGCTCTAACCACTACACCCGGACGCCCCTGACAAGGGAAGTTTGGTTTGTCACTCACTCACTCACTTACTCACTCACACATAAACAAGTGAAATATTTGTCAGTGTAAAGTTCAAGCTTATTTCACTTCAGCTTATTAACAAGAAAAGACACAGCCATTGTACTTTGTGATACACTTTAATTCACATACAGACTTTCAGCACAGATGCTTCACACAAATCACTTCCTCTACTTGAAACAGTGGAATGTATCAACATAATGAATATGGGAAGAGACAGAGCCCTAACACTGAATTGATGGAGAATCAGTATAATGGACATCAGTCAACTTTACAGCATAGCACAAACCGACAAGTACATCATTCAACAAAACTAAAGCCTTATCTTTTTTCAGTTGGTTTACAAACATTTTGTCCTGAAAGTAAATGTTTTGTGCTTCGGGAATAAATAAAAGGAGTTACAGTTTTCAGATTAGTACTGCTCCACATAAACCAAGAACTGGTACGTTCCCCAGTAACGAGAACCATATTAGAAGTACATGTATCCTGAAACACCACACTAGACACAATGCTTTTTTGTTAGTACAAAGATGTTATACACACATTATTCACAATTTCTTCCCAAAAGCAGGGATAAAATCTCGTACTTTTTTTCACTAATTTCAATCTGTCTCAAAACCATCTTAAAGATATATATATGGCCTAATCATAATGCCCACTTGTATCGCTTATACATTACAATCTCTCTCGCAACAAAACATATTCATTTCTGTTTAAATTATTGCAACCATCCCTATTTATGGTCTAGTGACAAGAGTATAAGCAATGCACACGTGTTAGTGTTTATTTAATGCCATAGTCAGATGGTGGTCTGCAGATAATAAAATCTACACTATCCAGTGCCTGACATGAGCATCAATCCACACAGATGTAATACAGTGAGATGCTGTCAACCATGTCGACGAGCCTGACCGCCAAATCCATTTTGTCACCTTGTATGACAAGAAGTGGTTGCTGGGGATGTGTATTCTCACCTGGATTCCCACAGGTGACGCATGACCTTAACACAACAGCAATACAGACTGTAGTTTCTTGAGTACAGACCACACCCATGCATTAGTCACATCCTCGCTGGGGGATGCAGTATTATTGAAAAAGATGTTTTGCAAGTATTATGCAGTCAAATATTAACTCATTTCAAGTGGAGTCATGGTATAACATCATATTTTGAAGTTTGCAAAGGGCAACACCCCTCTACCTTGCCTCTTTTTCAGAAAACATCACTATATCCAAGAAAGTACAGCATCTTAGACTGTCTACATAGCTTGTGGGTCTCATGAATGTTCGACCGCCTCCGTGGTGTAGTGGTTAGAGCGTCCGCTCGGGGAGCGGAAGGTCGCGGGTTCGATCCCCGACCGCGTCATACCAAAAGACGTTAAAATATGGTACTTGTTGGTCCTTGCCTGGCGCTCGGCATTAATGGGTACAACAAGGACTGGTCGGCTCGGGAGTCAGTATAATGTGTCTGAGTGGGGTATTCATGCTTCACTGCGGCATGGTATCTCAGTGGGCTAGCACTATAAAACCAGCTTAAGTCTGGGCTAGTACAAGCAGCCGCACATACACATACACACGCATGCACGTCGTCATATGAGCAAAATATTCTCAGGCACGACGTAAAACCCAATTTCACCTCACCTCATCTCACCTCACCTCATGAACACATACACTTACTGGCTGTTGTGCAACATCAAGCTGACGACCCATGATACAACTGAAATACTTTCAAACAGATGTTACACCAAAATATTTTTCAGTCATGTTATGGCGGAAACACTCACTCTTGTGTGTAACACTCACTCACGTCGAAAGAAGGGAGATAATTAGATGTGTTCACCCTAAACATTCAGGAACTGACATTTACACATCTATACACCGTTTCCAGATGAAGACTAACTCTAAAAGTAATGGTAGTTTGAAGATATTCATGCTGAGAAAGGGCAAGGCTCTTGTACTAAAGATGTCCTCAAATAATATTCAACAGAGAATGATACCTGCAAGTATCAGAACACAAACATTATTGTTTGCTGATATCATCTCTTATAAAATATGTGACGTTGCACTTTATAACTTTACATCAAAACCTTATCATGCCTTCTTTTATATGTACTGACTGACTGACTGACTGAGTTTAGTTTTACGCCGCTTTTAGCAATATTCCAGCAACATCACGGCGGGGGACACCGGAAATGGGCTTCACACATTGTACCCATGTGGGGATTCGAACCCGGGTCTTTGGCGTGACGAGCCAACGCTTTAACCACTAGGCTACCCCACCGCCCGTTTATATGTACTGCAGTTGTACCATAGTGAAGTCCATGTTGCGGCATGTGACTGTGGTATACACGCATCCCTCCAAGTTACGGGGGACTATGTACCCCCCTCCTTTTTCAACTACAAAATGCCTGAGTGTGACAATAAGAAGGTGTTTGTGGGGGAGGGGTGGTGTTTTTCAGGATTGTGCAGAGTACAGAACAAGGGGTGAACATTGTCTTCCTCTGACGGTACAAAGTGCGTAAATATTTGTTACCCTGAATATTATCCTCAGCAGCATCCCGATCACTTCACACTTTCCTCCTACAATCTGTCATGATGCAACTGAAATAATTTGAAATAATGTTGACAGCGGTGCAGGTAACTCTTAACAGCCCTTGCACATGCTCCTCGCCAAACCACATGAAGTGTCATAAAATCTACCATAGCCTTGGCCAAACATTCCGATTTCCAAAATGTGTGCGTGTTGCACTAGAAGTGAGTTGGCTAGATAAGGCCTAGTAGTGAGTATGGGTAGAGCACTGCTAAGAAGTGCAGACGTAATATAACAATGTTCCAAATAGCTGTCTGCTGAAGGCCCAAGACAGGTAAACTTCGGGTCAGGCGTAAAAGGATTAAAAGTTTCTCAACCAGCGGACAGGTTAATATTTGAACAATTATACCTCTAGACTTTACCCTCAGTGACACTGTCATGAGTTTATTTGTGAACTTGATGTGGGACCAAGGTGTCATAGGTTATCAGCTTATGGAAGTTGTGCATTTATAGAAAGTTCATCAAACATCTTTCCTTCTGTTTTATATAAATAAAGAAAACATTTAGACAATATTGATAGGACTGGCTGGTTTTAAGTGGGTCTGGTAGGTCATAAAAGCTATCAGCCATGTCCCTGGTACAAATTCTTAGGGAGTTTCTTTACTGAATATAATTGACAAAATAGAATGGGTAGTCAATTTACTATCATGATTTACAGACATAGATTATATTCAGCACAACACACATGATGAATACACTACTCTCTTATTTTTAATAATCTCTTTGTAGATACTTTTGTGTCTTAGCATGTTAATGTGTGAATCCATGTCAATATCCTTGTGAATTGTTTGCAATGTGGCAATCTCTCATGTGAAAAGAATTCCCTTCAGGACAATAAAGTATGATTTAATTCAATCTCACTTCAGTCAACATCAGCACTCTCCGATACTCTCTGATATCGTCTAATCTTTCATCACACTTTCTTGCGACATCCAACCTCTAATGAATCTGTTCAAGCCAGATAAATATCAGCGAAGCTGTGGTTTTGTAAATGTCCATATGTTTTCTCCGGCATCGTTTCACGAGTGGAGCGTCACTGATGGGAACATGGCCCTGATACCATTCATAGCGCCATCGTCATGGGCGAACCGGGTTCCCTGAGAGGTGGACGACCTTCAACTTGGGGCATGTCAGCAGCGCCTCAAGAGCCTCTTTGGAGGAAATACCTGTATCTGTTAAGGAGGCAACATACCAACGATGATTAAACTTTCCTTGTAAGCTGACATATTTCAAAATGGAAAGAAGTCAGATATATTACACTGAATAGTCATGAAGAAAAAACATGGGAATATCTGGCTAATACGTTGGAAATTAACCTCGTTTCATTCCTGATACTTCAGGCGAACCCCAATGTCTCGAGCTTGGTTGAGACGAATTCTCGGTTGTGTCGACCTCATCTCTCGGTCTCTGCCGATATCCTTATATTTATCGTTAGTTTTACCCTGATGTCTCGAACTAGATGTGTCACATTCCCGTTGTGTCGAACTCATTTAGGGTCCCCAAAAGCCCTAATAAGTACAAGTTTATATCTGGCTAATATGTTGGAAATTAACCTCGTTTCATCCCTGATACTATATTCTCATCTTGCAACTTCAGACCAGAAAGGCCAACTCATGATATGACAAATCACAAACTATGTCAGTAAACTTATTTCAACTATTTTCTTAAGAAGAAAGATGCTAGCTGCAAATGTGTAAAAGCACATAGGAATGCCAACAATCAAAAGTTCACAAACTTAACAATCTGGCCTCACCTATGCACCATTTTCAGGAAAGCCCCCTGGCATCAGATTTTGTTTAATCAAATATAAATGTTAAGAAACATCTACTGGAAGACAGAGACAGATGTTATTTGTTCACACAGTAAGATGTATGTCAGTGAGTGAGTATGGTGAGTATCATGGTGCAGAACACCAGAAATGGGCTTTACACATTGTAACCCAGGGCCCTGTTCCTCAAAGCGTCGTGGCAAAGCATCAATCATCTTAGCACGACAGTAAAGTCTGTGTTAAAGTATATGGGAGTTACAATCATCTTAGTTACGCTCTTAGCGACAGTCGTAAGTCTGTGTTAAAGTATGGGAGTTACGATCATCTTAGCGCTACGACAGTTGTAAGTCTGTGTTAAAGTATAGGAGTTACAATCATCTTAGCCTCGACAGTCGTAAGTCTGTGTTAAGTCTGTGTTAAAGTATAGGAGTTAAGTCATCTTAATCATCTTAGCAATCACGACAGTCAGAAGTCTGTGTTAAAGTATAGGAGTTACAATCATCTTAGCGCTACGACAGTCGTAAGTCTGTGTTAAAGTATAGGAGTTACAATCATCTTAGCGCTACGACAGTCGTAAGTCTGTGTTAAAGTATAGGAGTTACAATCATCTTAGCCTCGTACGACAGTCGTAAGTCTGTGTTAAAGTATAGGAGTTAAATCTTAGCGCTCACGACAGTATAAGTCTGTGTTAAAGTATGTTACGAATCTTAGCCTTCGATCTTAAAGTATAGGAGTTACGATCATCTTAGTCAGTAAAGTCTGTGTTAAAGTATAGGAGTTATAGGAGTTACAATCATCTTAGCCACGACAGTCATAAGTCTGTGTTAAAGTATAGGAGTTACGATCATCTTAGCGCTACGACAGTCGTAAGTCTGTGTTAAAGTATAGGAGTTACAATCATCTTAGCGCTACGACAGTCCTAAGTCTGTGTTCAAAGTATGGTTACGATCATCTTAATATGTTTGTGGAATGGGGCCCTGGTCTTCAGAGTGATAAGCCAATATGTTAACCATTTTGCAACCCCACCGCCCCAGTTCACATTTTAGATAAAAGGATACTATTATTCCGTAGGTCAAGTTCAGATAACTCTGGCAGGAAGTTGAGCCCCTCACAAGATGTTATCTGGTTCCCGCTGATGTTCAACTTCTCTAAACACTGCAAATACTGGAAGTTGTGAAAGCTGTCTAAGCTGTTGTCGGAGAGTTTCACTTCCCGAATAAGGGGAAGTAACTCTAGATGTACGAGTGTTGTCAGGCCTTGATTGGACAAGTCCAAAACATCATCAAGCTTGCCTTTAATAGTGTCTATGGCTATCTCGATCAGCATCTTACTCCCTGCAAAAAGAGGATATAGATTAGATCAAGCGGTGTCCTCGAGAAACCCTCCTGAGGCATGATTTGCAATGGAGACATCGTTTGCTCTGACTATGAAGACAATGGGATTTTGTTTGTTTATTGTTTAACAAGGCACTAAGCCAAAGTGGAATCTACCTGTCAATAGGTAAATAATCGACTCTGAACAAGTCAAACCAGTGATTGATATTATGAACAACTAATGCTAGGACAGGCTGTTCAAATGCAGGCATTGATACTGACCACCAGATCACATAATCACCTGGCAACCACCAAGTCTGCCAGACAATAAGTCTATCCCAGACTCCCCACAGGGATGAGAGACAACAATAGGATGATATACCAGTACTTACTCAGGGATGAGAGACAACAATAGCAATGTCGATATACCAGTACTTACTCAGGGCTGAGAGACAACAATAGCAGTTGATATACCAGTAGTTACGCCGTTTGTTGTCGAGGTTCTGTAGTTGCTGCAGATGCTCCAGGATCTCGTCCTTGTACAGGACAGGACACAGAGACTTCATCAGGAGGACGATGGTGAGGAGGACCCCTGTCAAACACAGATATTGATACATATCAGATGCAAGGTAACAACGTCCTTCATAAACTCAGGTTCTGTCACCAACAGCTAATACAACAACGGAAGGCTTCAAAAATGTTTGTTGTTTTGGTTTGTTTGTTGTTAAATGCAGCACTCTGCAATATTCCAGCAATATTGCGGCGGTCTGTAAATAATCGATTCTGGACCAGACAATCCAGTGATCAACAGCATGAGCATCAATCTACACAATTGGGATACAATGTGTCAACCAAGTCAGCGAGCCTGACCACCTGATCCTGCTAGTTGCCTCTTATATCAAGCATGAAATGGAACTATGGGCAGTTTATGGGCACCGTAGACCAATTCTAACCCTGATCTTCACTCGTTGCTTCAAGAATGAGCTTCACATGGTGAACCCATGGGTGAAACCTTTAACACATAAGCTAACCAATAGTCCCATTGCTCCTTCACACATGCTTTGACCAGATCTGTCTTACTTTCTGTCCAAAGTGTTCTGATGGAATGAGTGAGCCTGCAAGTGAGAGATGGTGGAAGGAAGTTTGGAGTGAGTGAGTGAGTATGGTTTCACACTGCTATTAGCAATATTCCAGCAGCATCACAGCAGGGGACACCAGAAATGGGCTTCATACATTGTGCCCATGTGGGGAATCAAACCAGGGCCTTCGGCATGACGAGGGAAACTCTTTCACCACTAGGCAGCCCCACTGCCCTAGGAAGGGTGGAAGGGGTGGTGGTTGGTTTACACTGTTTTAGCAATATTCCAGGAATCAAAACTGAGACTTCGTCACAACAACGTAACGATTTAGAATCCTGGTTTTCCTAAATGTGTGACCTTGACCTACATTTATTCTCTGGTTCGAGACTGTACAGCTCCCTGACAGCATCAAGCTCTCTCTTCATCACGTCACTAGTCGCAGAGCTCAGCTCCGAACTGCAACATGGGATATGCAAACATATGACAAAGCGTACCTAAATGAACACGATAAAATCACTCATAATTAGTGACAGAAAAAACCAACCTAACTTTTAATAAAATCTTTAATGCTGTGTATGATATGTTTATCATGTTCTGACACTGTTGAACTTTGCACCATGGATCTTGTTAATCAACGATTCCGTTCTAGATGCTGTGATTAGGCACTGTACATGGATAAAACATCATGTACTGATTGATTGAACTGCATACAAAGCAAACTCTCACAGCTGACTGGTTCAGACCTGTTCCCTTCCTTTTAACATGCCATCTATGGTATGCTTTCTGTGGTCTGAAGTATATACAGTCAAATCCCAATACATTGTGGGGACTCAGTAATAAATTCTTATCGATATTTACACATAGTTGCATGTTGTCTTTTCCTTGCCTGAGATTATATTTTTAAAATAGTAAGTATACATAACAATTTCCGTTACACTAATACCCACCTCAATGGCGGAAAACCACTTTCTACACAATCTGGAAATTTTGTCCTTTGATTCATCTGACCTTCATCAAGAAACAATTTCTATTCAAATGATGACCTAAACGAGGGAATCAGGTATTCTTCCACACTGACCTTTGACTGTACATTGTAAACTACCTTGATCTCACCAGTCATGGTATGGAAATATTTTAAAAAGCTATATACATAATAGTTAAGGTAAAACACTTCTACATATGTTTTACACATCTGACCAAATCTAGAAGATATCAGAGTTGACTGTCGCACCATCAGGTCTAAGATGTACTCTTAAAAAAACACTTGATATATGTTTACAGTGACCAAATCTAGAAGATATCAGAGTGACTGTCATTACACAGAAGAACATTATAATTATCAGAATTACCTCAACTCTAAGACTCTAATACAGAACTACCAGATTACGTATGTGGAACAAGGAACTGTAGCAACACTTTGAGCAAGTGAGCGAGTATTGTTTTATGCCACTTTGATCAATATCAAACTGCAAATGTCAAATCAAATTTTGAAATATTACAAAGCAAAAACAAAATATTTCCGCTTATACACATACAAGTTTCATTGCATTTTAAACAAAGAGTGCTACATTATTGCAGCTTTTTTACTAGTGGTTTAGTGGTTACCACCAATAATGGATGCTGTACAAATAGATCTTGATGTAACATTACTTTACTTTCAGTTTCCATGTGTTTAAAACAAATATTTAAATTTGTATGAAGGATATCCAGAGTGTGGAGAATGTATTTTTCCTCTGCTGGTTAGTCCATGGTCTAGTCCATGTGCTCTACTCTTACAGGGATAGTGATCCATTCACTCTCAATCCAGAATGAGGTTGTCTCTAACTCAACAACCTTAAAGACAAACAAACATATATGTAATGATAATAAGATAGTGAAGACCGAAGAAGAATAACAACAGGAGGAAGAGGGGAAGATGAAGAAGAGGATGGGAAGAATAAGATGAAGAAGAGGAAAAGGCTGGAAGAATAAGATGATGTTGGATGAAGACTGGACTGAAGGCTTTAGGCAATATCCAGGAAAATCATGGAGGAAGAAGACATGACAAAATAAAGAAAAGAACAAGACAAGGATGAACAAATGATGATAATGATGATGGTGAGAATGATGATTGAGAATGACGATTAAGAAGAGGACAAATTCACAGCCACATTCTTTAAGATTATAATAATTAACACGAACAATTAAAATACAGAAAATTCAGTTTTAAATGTATCAGTCTAGTTTATACTTAGATTTCAATTAATCAATTATCTTAACCAATAATCAATAAGGGATTGATACATCAATACTTAACTTCAAAACAGTGACATCACTATTAACCATGTACCATCCTAATTAGGAAGTGAATGTCCACAGTGTTTCATTATTATCACCCTAGTCTTTGAATCAGGGTGCACTCATATTTCATTCTCAACTCCCTTGGGAGAATACAACTCATGTTGTTTGCAATGGTCCATCACAGATTGATAGTAACAACAGTAGCATGAAAGAATGAGATGTTTTATTCATAGCTTGAGTAATATATGTGAGTGAGTTCGGTTTTACACTGTTTTCAAACTGTTCTGAGTAACTTTCCAATAATATCACAGCAATGTACACCTGAAATGGGCTTGCATACTGTTTCCATCTGATGAATCAAACCCACCTTAGACATGAAGAGCAAATGCTGTAATCACTTGTCTATGGTGAGGTGAGGTGAAATTGGGTTTAACGTCGTGCTTGAGAATATTTCGCTCATATGACAACGTGCATGCATGTGTATGTGTATGTGCAGCTGCTTGTACTAGCCCAGACTTAAGCTGGTTTTATAGTGCTAGCTCACTGAGAAACCATGCCGCAGTGAAGCATGAATACCCCACTCAGACACATTATACTGACTCCGAGCCGACCAGTCCTTGTTGTACCCATTAATGCCGAGTGCCAGGCAGGGACCAACAAGTACCATATTTAACGCCTTTTTTGGTATGACGCGTCGGGATCGAACCCAAGGACCTTCCGCTCTCCGGGCGGACGCTCTAACCACTACACCACGGAGGCGGTCACTTGTCTATGGCTTCACCTGTGTCTTAATCTACTTGCACTGTATGAATGTGGAGTACATGTCTCTCATATACTGCCAGTGTGACATTAAACACAGCTCACAACATATTATTACCTGTATATGTTTGGCGAGGGAGACAATGACCCGGCTGGCTTCTCTGGAGACGTACATCTGACATATCTGCTGTGACGTCTCTCCCGTGTACAACAAGAAGAGCATGTTGAGTTGCCAGTACAATATACTACTCAAGGGATATAGAGATTATTAACTGAGTGTTTCATCTGAGCATCTGAGGATAGAGATTCTTTTTCAGAGAGATCGTCCTTGGGGTATTATTAGCATTTCATGCATTTTCCGCTGAAAATGTCCTTCCGCATGACAGTTGTATCAATGTTTTTGAATAAAAAGATTGTACAATAAATAAACTCTTTTATTTATTATATACGACCTCTACCTCACGGAGTTACCTCCCAGTAGCATGCGCACTAACTGGGCTCCTTTAGACCTCGTGATCATTCCTTCTGCTGTCACTGCCGTGAACAGACGGCAGGTTTATAGAACGCACTTCATGAGCCGGACAGCTTGAAAGCTACTAAGAGCTATGTCTGAGACACCACCTGTATGTATGGTCTTTATTTGCCTAAAACAAGGAACAGTAAAGCTTTACAGTTGGTTGTTTCATAATTGTGACTTTGTATTAATACAAAAATACGCCAACTTTCCCCTGTGGTTACGCGACGCGTTGCTCTGCCATGGCGGGAAGTTTAGCGATGCCATGTGGTCGCATATTGCGCATAAAACCAACTATTACTTTCTCGCGGGTAACCTTCACTGAAGTTTTTCAATGTTTTCACGCGGTTTATATGCTGCTGGCCAGCCGCTAACTAACATGTTTGGCGTGTTTGTTTCAGGCCTTTTCATGCTGTTCGGTCTGTGGGGGAGTATCCCCGGGCCGACAGTCATTCCAGTTGCGCGGCCTGTCTGGAGAAGACAGGCCATGAGGCTGACTCCTGCACTATTTGTCTGGCCTTTTCCCCGGCCCAGAAGAGGCGGGTTGCCGACACCTTGTTCTATCGCTTAAATGCGTTGAGGCGGAGGGGACCTGACGCAGGTTCCCCGCCTAAGTCCAAAACGTAGTCAAAAAAGGAAAAAATCCCGCGGCCCTTCCCTCTCCTGCCACTTCGTGTGGTTTTGACATGTCACCGATGGAGTCTATGCTTCTTTGCAGCAGATGGACTCGACGATGAAGTCCTTCGCTCGTGAGTCGGTTGGAGGTCTCCCGGCAGGAGTTCCTCACCCACTCCGGACGGGGGCGGAGAGTCCGGGTGGGATCGCTGGCTCGGCTCGATCCTCGCCTTGAGGCGCCTGTAGATCCGCTGCCTCTGCTTGATCCGACGCCGGGCCCGGGAGAGGAGGTGCTCCCAGTCCCCTTCGAGGAGCTCGCTGCGAGGGGCCGCTGGAGTATTCCTGGTATTCGTCCTGCGCCACCCCGCCCCATGAGAGCGGGAGGCACCAGTTCTGCCTGGCCTGCCTCCAGCGCCTCGAACCGGGGTCCACGCGACGCCGCTGGCGCTGGACGGGAGCAGTCTGTTCTTCCTTCCTGTCCTTAGCTTAGGCAGTCCACCGGGTCGGGCCAGGGTCCTCTTACGGAGGAGACCCAGCCTCTGACTCGGGCTCGACGCCGGGGTGAATGGAGCTTGGGAGGTCGAGAGCGACGGGCGGCTTCCGCTTTGCTTCGCCTGGCGGGAGGTCCGCAGAGAATTGCCGAGGGCTTTACCCCAGGCCGCCAGCCTGCTGGCTGGCGTGGACTGACTGAGTTCCGGCTTTGCCTGGCGAGGCGTTGCCCCCTGCAGCCCCTCACCGATGCAGCTCCTGATTCTGCCATCGCTATTCTCGACGTGGTCGATCCCCTTGTCTGGTGCCCGGTGCGGTTTGACTTACCCTGAACTCGCGGCGCGCTACCAGCTTGGGGAGGATTCCCTGCTCGTTGTACCAATTGTTGACGCACGTGTTTTCACTTCCGCCGCTCTGGGGGAGGCCAGTCCGAGCAGCTCGGCTGCTCGGCAAGGGCTTAACTCCCACTCTTTGCCCTCGCTGGCTTCGCGCACGCCGCATCGACCTACTTTGAGGAGGTTCACCGACCGCTGAGCGCAGCAGGTGCGGTGGTGGTCTCCATGAGGCCTACCTCTCCTCGACATACAGAGGTCGGGCCCTGGAGGCGAGGGGGCATGCTGGCTAACGCAGTCGCCGCGATGTCGCGGCTAATCCGGCCAGCTGAAGTTCAGGGGCTCACTCGCTACACTTCTTGGCGGTCTGCTGCGCCGACGGTGATAAAAGCGCAGTCATGGGGATGCGCCTGCTGTGGCTGTCGACGCTTAGGTACTGGGCAGCAACACAGCAGACCTTGCTGGCTCTCCTTTCCGCCTGGGAGCCGAATTCTTCCCCGAGCCCAGCAGGTCATAATGGAGGCTGCCGCTGCAGCTACCTCCTTCGGCGCGATTCTAAGGCCTTGTTGAGCACCCGCTGGTGTCTCGCCTCGCGCCCCCTTCCACTCCGGCTGGTGCAGCCTACACCGAAGTCTGCCGGCTGGCTTCGCGCCGCTGGTGGGTAGGCGGAGGAACAGGTCCGCTAAGGGTAGGGGCAAGGAGCAGTCCCTCGGACCAGCTCCCAGCCTTTCAAGCGGGCGCCGGGAGGTCTGCCCCACTTCCCGTTAACCCATCAGGTTGCCGCCAAGCCGCAGTGTCACGCCCAGTCAGCTCCGGCTTACTCGGTCCACGCACGCTTCCTACCCCATATCCCAGTGGGAGGCCGCCTTCTCTATTCCTGCCGGAATGGGAGAAGGCTACCAACAACGCTTTGGTGCTGGCCACGGGTCAGCATAGGCCATCTCCCCACTGAAGCGAGGTCCGCTCGACTTCACCGCATACGCCGCGACTGCGTCGCCATGTCAAGCCAGGGCGACATATTGCGCCGACGGTTCAGGCTTTGCTGGCAAGTCCGCAATCGAGCCGCATTCCACCGGGAGCGAACAGGCGATTTTATTCCATGTACTTCCTCGCCCGGAAGAAAGACGGCGTGGTTCCGGCCCCGATTCTCAACCTCAAGGGTTGAATCGCGATGCTAGAAGTACCATCCTTCAAGATGGAGACACCTGCGCCGGTGATCTCATCTGTTCAGCCCGGCGATTGGCTCACGCCAATCGACCTAAAGGATGCGATTCGCATGTACTTCCATACATCCCTCGCTCAAGCAGTACCTTCGCTCCTCTACTTACGTGGATGTATTACCAATTCAGGTGCTCCTTCGGGCATATCGACTGCCCCAAGGTGTTCACTAAGCTCATGTTAGTCCCAGCTACTCCTAGCTCGCTTCCGCAAGGAAGGCGCTTTGTTACTCTTTACCTAGACGACTGGTTGCTCGGAGCACTAACACGTGCCAGCGCAGTCAAGATGCTACTCACACAGTGATAGACATTCTAACTCGACTGGGTGGATCATCAACCTCAAGAAATCCGTACTCTGGTACCCACCCAGGGACTTGGTTTTTCTTGAGCGATTCCAAACGTAACAAGGATCTCGCTTCTGTCGCCCCACCAGGTCACCAGAGTTCGGGAGATGGTCTCTTCATTCCTCTCCCCAGCCCCAGGCACCAGCACGACTTGGCTCCGCCTACTGGGCCATATGGCGGCGACGATCTCTGTAGTGTGGCGGCTGCTGAGGATGCGCCCCATACAGCAAGCTTTGGCTCGGCTGTGGACTCACACGGAGGATCTGGAGCGCAGTCTCACAGTCCCCAAGTGGTTGACACCTCACCTTCAGTGGTGGACAAATGTCGGGAATCTCACCAGGGGGTTCCCCTTGAAACTCCGGACGCCAGCTCACAGTTCAGACATAGATGCGCCCCTCACGGGCTGGGGGCGTTTGCAGTCTGTCGGCTTCGACTTCTGGTCCGAAGTCGAAGCTCACCTTCACATCAACGTAGTTGGAACTGAGAGCTGTGCGGTTGGTATTCGAGCCGCCAGAGAGCATGTCCGGTGGGCCAGGTAGTCCGGCCCTTCAGTTAGACAACCAGACGCCATGTCAGACATCCTGAAGCAGGGGAGGCACGGTAGTCCCTAGCCCGAAGCGTGGACTTTCTCCTCTGGAGCCACTCCAGTACGCATTGTCAGGTACTCCCTGTTTATCTCCCGGGCTGGAGAACGGCGCAGCAGATGCGCCTTCGCCGATCCTGGCCCCGCGACGAAAGTGATGCTCGACAGGCAGATATTCACAGTAATCTCCCAGTTGTACGGGTCGCTCGAGGTGGATCTGTTTATGCCCGGGCGGGACGCGATCAGACACCCGTTTCTGCTCTCGGATACCGGACTCCAGGGCGCGGCTGCCGCACGCTTTCCTGCTGGATTGACGGGCAAAGTGCTTCTGGCTCTCTACCATTACCACTCATTCCTCGTCCTTTCACAGCTGTCCACCCAGCCAGCTCGGGCTACTTGTGCTACTGGCACCGCTACTGCCATTACAGAGCTGGTTTCCGCAATTCTCAGGTTTCTGGCTCAGCCTCCTGTTCTATTACCTTTATGCACCAGACATTCTCACCAGAACGGAGCTTCCACCCAAATCTAATGGATTCAGTGGGTGGCTTGGCCTCTGTCAGGTCTAACTCGGCGGCACGCCGAATTCTGCAGCAGTTGCAGACACAATTCTGGCTTCAGGTGCTGGATTCGGACAAACGCTCAGTACGAGGATAGGTGGTCCCGCTTATGCGCCGCTGGTGTTCAGATAAGGGATTGCAGATCCCTTTTCAGCGGATTTAGTCCGGTATTGAGTTTTGCAAGCTCGCTTTTGAAGAAGGCCTGGCGGCTTCGACCATTCGCCGCTACTCCAATCGCTATTTCCATTTTTCACACCCTGTCGATGGTGCTTCTGGGCAGCACCCTCTCGCATAGCGCCGCTGAACGGATTCGACCTGCTCTCAGGCTAACCAGTCCACCTTGGGATTTGGTCGATCAGTTCGGGATTGGTTGTCCGTCCCACTTTCACACCTATCGGCTATTTCCATTCAGTTGTTGACCTGGGAAAGTTGCCTTTTCTGGTGGCTGTAACATCTGGTCGGCACGGCGACATTTACATGCTATGTCGTCCGGACCTCGGCGCTGACTGTGTTTCACACGGATCGTCAGTATTCTCCCAGATACTTTCATCAATCAAGGTCAATCACGCTCTCCCATGTGACAGCTCCTATCGAACTTCCTACTCTTACCCAGCCTTCCACATCGGGACCACTCCCACCAGCACTCACCCGCTGGATGTCCTGTGAAGACGCCAAAGTCTATCTCAAACGTAACGCAGGGGATCCGCCAGACGGGTACCCAGCTGTTCTGTTGTTACGGTGGCGGAAGGCTGGTTCGCCAGCCAGCAAGCAGACTTTGTCTCGCTGGCTAGTATCGTATTTGTGCCGCTTTATCAGGCTAAGGGCAAGCCTCCCCGAGGGGTTGAAGGCCACTGTCAGGTGCAGCACGTGTGCCGCTAAAGCTTTTCGCATCGGCACTTCCCCATTGAAGAAAGATCTGCCCTGCCGCTATTTGGAGCCGGCCCAGACGCTTATATCGCCATTATCAGCTCGACATACGCATTCCCCGTAATCGTGCAGTAAACTTTAAGTCAGGATTGTTCTCTCCAGTGGACAGTGTCCTGCCACCCTTGACCGAAAGTGAGTCTTGGTTTATTGGTTTGTTTTGACGCTTACTGTACAATAAGATTCCATTATTGACATGTCTGCTAATGTGGAGCTCACCCAGAGAACCCGTACCCCTCTTCTTCGATTTCTTCTACGGAGTTACCTGTATCGTTAGTGAGTGGTATTTTGTTTTCCCCACGGTGCTCTCATATGAAAGAAGCCACTTAGTGGGTCGGATTGCTTGATATTCTGACCACGCAAGTAATGTCTCATTATGCTAGAGGTCGCCTTTTGAGCACAAATCCTCCCTGTCAGTTCCTCCCATAATGCCTTCTCGCGAAGCTTTAAACTGGGTCGAGTGACAGGTGAGTGTTAGGCGCTGCTTCGTTCAATTTTTTTCCATGATACGATCGCTATATTTTGAGGTGTGCTTTTGGACAGAATTCCCTCCTCCCTGGCTTCCGGGTCTTTGGGAGTCTGTGTTTATGCATAATATGTACCCCAAGGACGATTCTTCTGAAAAGAATTAACCAAACCTGCAGAGGTTTTCTAATTCTTGAAGAGAGAGTCGCCCTTGCAGTAGCTTCTCCCACCTCCCCGCAATTCTCTGTTCACTGGATAAGAATTCAGCAGAAGGAATGATGATATCGGGTCTAGGGAGCCTACTCCAGTTGGATACATGCTACTAAGGGAGGGTAACTCCGCGATAGTAGTGTCCGGTCCTAGATAAATAAAAGAGTTTATTTATTGTACAAATCTTTTATTCAAAAAACATTGATACAACTGTCACAGGACATTTTTCAGCCGGAAAATGGCTAATATGTACCCTAAGGATCTAATTCTTCAAAGAATTGAAAACCTCCGCATATTTTACAAATATATATCTTGTATAAGGGACATATGATATTTCACTAGTGTTGGGAATTGGTTAAATTTTCATAATTGATGATTGGTTCATTACAAACCCATCAATCATCGAAAAATAATTGGTGTTACCATTTATGAAATTTGTTAATGCACATGCGTCATATGTTCATAGCATGTATTATTTGGGGCTTTTTGAATAAAAATTTCACATCTTTAAAGGCGATGACTAGTATGTTAGGAACATAACTTTCTTGGAGCCTTTAAGATGTAAATTCAATCATGACTTTGAAACGAGCTTGTAGTGCTTACAAAATGTAACAGACAAAACCAACCATGTGAAAAAAATATTGTTAATGAAAACAAGTGTTCCAGAATTGTTTGTGTTCGATTATGAGAAATTAGATCTATTGCTTATCGCTAGTCACTACGACCAATCTTCATTACATTTCAATTAATCGACCACCACTAATATTTACATGACAACATCCCCAGCTATCAGTCACATTCTAGCCCAGCTGGACACTCAGACTGTTCAGAAGACAGCAGAACATAAATATATCTTATGCAAAATTCATGGAGACTGAAATAACTTTTGTATTATCACCAGTCTATTACAGTCAACAATAACAGTGCAGAACTGGTATGACCACAGCTGTGAGGATTTCTGTAGCAAGCATTTACTGTAGTCAGAATTGAACATTGGGTTCAAGTATTTTTGTTTTCCCTCTTACCGTGCTCTCATGCGAAAGAAGCCACTTAGTGGGTCGGATTTCGTTGATATTCGAACATTCACGGCAATGCAATGTCTCATTATGAGGTCATGCTTTGAGCATGAAATCCTCCCTGTCCAGTTCCTCCCATAATGCCTCTCGCGAAGCCCGAAACTGGGTCGGTATAGTGACAGGTGAGTGTTATGGCCGCCTGTTCAATTTTTCCATGATAATGATCGCTATATTTGAGTGTGCTTGACAGAATTCCCCAATATATATCTTGTTTAAGTGACATATGATATTTACTAGTGTTGGGAATTGGTTAAAATCTCATAATTGATGATTGGTTCATTACAACCGATCAATCATCGAAAATAATTGGTAAGCGTCATTTATGAAATTTGTTAATGCACATAAAAATAAGGAAAAAACATGTAGCTATTTTGGGGCTTTTTGACAAAATTTCACATCTTTAAAGGATGACTAGTATGTTAGGAACATAACTTTCTTGGAGCCTTTAAGATAAATTCAATCATGACTTGAAACGAGCTTGTAGTGCTTACAAAATGTAACAGACAAAACCAACCATGTGAAAAATATTGTTAATGAAAACAAGTGTTCCAGAATTGTTTGTGTTCGATTATGAGAAATTGTGATCGATTGCTTGGTCGTTTAGTCACTACGACCAATCTTCGATTATTTCAATTAATCGGACCACCACTAATATTTACATGACAACATCCCCCAGCTATCAGTCACATTCTTTACCCAGCTGGACACTCAGACTGTTCATAATATGTTAAGAACATATCATATCTACAAAAATTCATGGAGATTGAAATAACTTTTATTATCACTGTCTATTTACAGTCAACAATAACAGTGCAGAACTGGCATGACTACAGCTGTGAGAATTTCTGTAAAGCATTTACTGCAGTCAGAAGCTGAACATTGGGTTCAAGTATTTTAGCCTTACCCCTTCCCAGCAGCCACCTGTGGTAAAACCATGCACTCTGGTCATCAGGGTCGGTGAAAAATGCATTCTGGACTGTTTCATGTTCTGAGGAAAATGTGTTAAATGATTCATGTAGGTTGTACAGGTGACAAGAGATGACACAAACAGAACATAATGTAATAAACCTATACCACAAGGATTATGCCAAGTGACATCACACCAAGTCACATGACGTCACATCACATCACGTCATGGGGAGTGTTTGTTTTTCTTTTTTTTCGTTTAACACCTGGCCCAGCAATATTCAAGCAATACGAGGAAGGTCTGTATATAATCGAGTCTGAACCAAACAATCCAGTTATCAACAGCATGAGCATCGATCTACGCAAGAGGGACATGTGTTCAACCAAGTTAGTGAGCCTGTCCACCCGATCCCGTTAGTCACCTCTTCCAGCCTGAACACCCGATCCCGTTAGTCACCTCTTCCAACAAGCGTGGGTTACTGAAGACCAATTCTAACCCGGATCTTCACGGGTTGGAGTGGAATGGAGTGGAGCATAATCATCTCTAAAGACTGTATCACCATGGTCGAAACAACTGATTGGATGCAACTGTACTGCATCTGCTGTATTCATGCTGTCAACCACTGGTTTGCTTGGTTCAGATTCAGTAACCATGGTAACTTGCTGACTGGTGTATCATTGTATAGAATTTAATTTGTGGTTTAATGCCACACTCAGCAATATTTGAGCTATATGAGCGGTCTTATATAACCAAATATATCCAGTGACTGACAACATGAATGCCGATATATGCAAACAGGATACACTGACATGCATCAAGTCAGTCAACAAACCTGACCTGATAAGGTTTCGTGGTATATATCTATGATTTATTACTCACAAGCCAATATGATCAGTCTGATATATTTCTGATGACAGTAACGACACAGGGACAACTCACTCAGTCTACATGACAATGAACGTACCTTGCAGCATCTGGTTTTCCTGGACTAGCCGGGGCTGGTTTGGGTCAGGGAAGATGGCCGGTAGTAACTTGCTGCGGTAATGCCAAGACGAGTAGTTGGAAAAATTGCTGCTGATTTTGGTTGTTGTGAATTCAAACTCTGATTCCAGTGACACTTTAGACCTCGACACAACAAACCTTCGGTAGTCCCAGCAATGAACTGTGGGAGAAGATTGGTTACCATGGTTACATGTCATCCTCCATGTTCTGACTGTTTCACTCTCATTGAACATGTTAAATACAGATCTTTGTTCTTGCTACTGTAAACATCTACGAACATTTCATTAAAGAAAACACCCGTGAAGGTCCGGGTTAGAATGAACCTTCAGTAACCCATGCTTGTCGTAAGAGGTGACTAACGGGATCGGGTGGTCAGGCTCACTGGCTTGGTGGACACATGTCATTGGTTCCCAATTGCGCAGATCTATGCTCATGCTGTTGGTCACTGGATTGTCTGGTCCAGACTCGATTATTTACAGACCGCCGCCATATAGCTGAAATATTGCTGAGTGCGGCGTAAAACTACAATCACTCTCACTCACTCACTCACTCACTCACTCACTCACTAAAGAAACAAACAAGTCTATGGCTTATTTGTTAGTTTGTTGTTTAATACAGCAGTCAGCAAATTCCCCAAAACTCTACAATACCTCAAAATAGTGGTGGTCCGATTAATTGAAATAATCGAAGATATTCCAGCTATATGGCGGCGGTCTGTATAAAAGCAAGTCTGGACCAGACAATCCTGTGATCAATAGCATGAGAATCGATCTAGGCTGTTGGGATATGATGACATCTGTTACAACTTTATGGATAACACCTTCTTGTTATGTCAGCTTGATAACGGTGTTGTTTTCCGCCTAATGCAACTTCAAAAAGCTCCTCCAAATGATCAGTTATCGGCTGTATGACCGATTCCATCACAATCATTGTCTGTCTCTCTCATCAATGGGATGAACATTTCAAAGAGAACAGGGGTTCCACAGCCAATAGGTAACACCTTCACACAGTCTCAGTCATCACACATTCAAGGGGTACAGCAAGGGTACAGATAAAGGCCGTATCGGCGTATGTACGGATAAAAAATATGCATGATACAGTAGGAAATAATTTAGAAAACGTAGCACATACGCACCACTGCATTGTCTTAGAATCATTTACAGACGTATTTATCTGGAAAAGTATTGTTTTATTGTTTATTGACCTGTTTACACAAGAGTAGCAATGTTGTGGTGCATATATGAAACGAAACACAAGATTACCCATCCGCAAATTTCCATTCAGTAATCCAAATGTACTCTTTGTTTTTCCAGTACTCTTATATTGCAAAAATAAGGAGTACGTACTCCTGATGTTGAAAAATTATCTGGAGCCCGGGGGTCATGTTTTAAAATAATGAACCAAATTCTTCAAAGACTAAGAAAGCAAACGACAGGTACTGGTTCCATAAAATAAACACTTTTCATTACACTTTAGATTTAAAGCTTTTTTGCATGCTTTCATAAATTTGTCAGTGCCAAAGTTGACCAAAATTCTTCAAAGACTAAGAAAGCAAACGACAGGTACTGGTTCCATAAAATAAACACTTTTCATTACACTTTAGATTTAAAGCTTTTTTGCATGCTTTCATAAATTTGTCAGTGCCAAAGTTGACACGGATTAGAATTTAAAATTTGAACATGAACACATGGGTTTTAATGGATGGATAACAACTTCCTGCTTTGTAAATATACAGTCATCATACTAAAGAAGTTGTCATCACTAAGAAATCTAAACCACAATGTCAGTTCTAGGATCACACTTACAGTTCCTCTCATCATACTCTAAGAACTGGTTGCAGAGCTGTAGTTCCCGCTCCCAGTCCGGTTTCGGCATGTTGTCAAGGACGAAGCAGCGATGATGCCACGTGCCGTACGATTTCGGGTTGCCCTTTAGACATGCCTCCAAGAAGTACAGCTCCTGCTGGTATAGTGTCTGGAGCTCTTCCTCGGATCTGGGGCACAACACATAGAGTCAATCATACATTTTTCAGATTATATTCATTATTTTATACTTATCCTGACTCATACTTTTTGCTTCTGACTCCCTTGACTTGTGATGTAATGGAAACATTGTGTTTTGTTAAAAAAACAGTAAAAACATCTCACCCGAATGCATCCCTTTACTGCGCATGTATATTCACTCCCCATGTGACCATGGTGATTCATCACTCTCTCCATTTTCGTAATTTCCAAATCATGAATTTAGTGTATGAGTCAGGATAAATATGAACAAATATATTTACTCTAATAAATATGTCTTGTTCCTCATCCTGACTCCTCCTATTTCCTTAAATCCATATAACCCACATCTTCTTGTTCCTTATCCTGACTCCTCCTATTTCCTTAAATCCATATAACCCCAATCTTGTTCTTGGTCCTTAAATCCATATAACCCCTGACTCCTCCTATTTGCTTAAATCCATATAACCCCAATCTTCTTGTTCCTCATCCTGACTCCTCCTATTTCCTTAAATCCATATAACCCCAATCTTCTTGTTCCTCATCCTGACTCCTCCTATTTCCTTAAATCCATATAACCCCAATCTTCTTGTTCCTCATCCTGACTCCTCCTATTTCCTTAAATCCATATAACCCCAATCTTCTTGTTCCTCATCCTGACTCCTCCTATTTCCTTAAATCCATATAACCCCAATCTTCTTGTTCCTCATCCTGACTCCTCCTATTTGCTTAAATCCATATAACCTCAATCTTCTTGTTCCTCATCCTGACTCCTCCTATTTGCTTAAATCCATATAACCCCAATCTTCTTGTTCCTCATCCTGACTCCTCCTATTTGCTTAAATCCATATAACCTCAATCTTCTTGTTCCTCATCATGACTCCTCTTATTTCCTTAAATCCATATAACCCCAATCTTCTTGTTCCTCATCCTGACTCCTCCTATTTGCTTAAATCCATATAACCCCAATCTTCTTGAATCCTGATCATGCCTGATGAAAATGGTTACCATCTGTTTTATGAGCTAAAAGATTTGAGTTGTTGTTTAACTCTGCACTCATCAATATTCCAGCTATATAGCCTCTGTCTGTAAATAATCGAGTCAGGACCAGACAATCCAGTGATTGATGGCATGAGCATCAAACTACGCAATTGGTATACGATGACCTGTGTCAGCCAAGTCAGCAAACCTGACCACCTGATGTCATTAGTCACCTTTTATGACAAGTATGGGTGCTTAAGACCAATTCTAACACAGGGTATTTGATATCAGATTGTAAACCAAAAGTCACTGTGTTCTTTAATATGATTGGTTGAAAACATGATCAAATGGTATTCGATTCCCAGAAATTTGCTGCGTATTAATACATTCAAACATCGCTCACACCATTGTATTGTTATGTCGTCAGCTGTGATGACGTCATTCAAATCATATTGTGACGTAAAGTCGGAATGACGTCACAAATGAGCAGTTCCAGATGCTACCATGGGAGACAGCTGAAACGGTCGGCTGATGACATTTCACTGCTGTACCCGTACTTGATGTCAATGAGTGCAGACACAAAAACGTGTGTGGACCTTTTGGTTTACTTTTGTGTTTACAATGTCGATAAACGCTGTCGGTTCCAAATGAATTCCCGTGCTTCAAATACTCAATAACACCCGGAAATTGGCCAACACATGATGTTTATCTCCTAAATGTGATATTGAAAACCCCAGTGTTTCTTACTTCTCTTCCCCGAAATGTTTGAAGATTTCTTTCCTGTAGTTCCACAGAGAGTAGAAATCAGAATTGGAGGTCAGAATTTCAGCAGTAATGTGGAGGGCTTCTTCATCGTATTCCTGCTGTTGGCGCTACAACACAAAAAGATAACAATTTGTGTCAAAAAGTGAAGCAGGTAATTATGTTGTAGAATATATGAACAATGTGCACTCATACACAGTCAGCTAAAAATCTCTGTGTATTTGATGTCATTTGATATTTGTTTGTTCTTTAACACCACTTTCTGCAATATTCAGCCTATATGGCTGCAGTCTGTAATTAATCGAATCTGGACCAGACAATCTAGTGATCAACATCATGAGCATCAAACTACAAAATTGGGATATGATGACATGTGTCAATCAAATCAGGGAGTCTGAGCACCAGATCATGTTAGTCACTTCTTATGGCAAAGGGTCGGTGGGGTAGTCTAGTGGTTAAAGCGTTGGCTCGTCACGCCAAAGACCCGGGTTCGAATCCCCACATGGGTACAACGTGTGAAGCCCATTTCTGGTGTCCCCCACCGTGATGTTGCTGGAATATTGATAAAAGCGGCGTAAAGCCAAACTCAGTCAGTCAGTCTTATGGCAAACATGGGATGCTGATGACCAATTCCAAAAGGTCTTCACAGGTATTATTTGACATGTGCCTCACCTTTACAGATATTTTTTGGACGGCTGCATTGTAAATCTTTAGTTTCTTTTCTCTTTCCTTCCTCTTAGCTTCTTGCTGCTCTGCAGTCGTCTTCACTTTCAGTCTTCCGTGCTGCAACCAAGATCAAACTGTAACAAGTGTGAAACCTAGCCTGATTATTGATTAAATGGTTCGGTAAAATGTGTAACCATGGTAACAGAAACATGAAATATTTGAGATTACACATTTTCAGTAAAGTACAGATTCTAGTATTTTTGTGTTAGACTCAACCAGCGTTGCAAACTCCCGCCTGCCCGACCATCCGGGACGGTCTGTTTTGCGACCGGACGGTCAGTTTTAAAAAGTTGCACGCCCGATGGTCTGGCTGTTGAATCAGCGTAATTTTGTGATGTATATAATGACTAAAGCCTTGACTGAAAAACATTTAAAAACGTGTTATTGTGACAATAACCTGACTTTAAACAGTTCCCTCCTCTTATTTACCTCCTTTATATTTTATCTTAATCCTGAAAATTCTGGACTGGTAACTTTCCAGCCGGTCTGGTAACTTTTGAGAGTTACCAGACCAGTTGTCTGGCCGAAATTTTGGGGAGTTTACAACACTGGACTCAACCCAACAAACTTACTAGAATCTGTACTTTACTGAGAAAGTGTAGTCCCAAACATAACATATGTTACATAGGGGAAAGCTGAAAAACTACATGCATGAATCTTTACCTGTTACTTTCAGCAGAGCTTGTCATGCACAGTCTAGTGCCTTTGTCTGATTCTATTTCAATTTAAAAAATTATTTACCACAAATGAAAGATGCCAATTCTTGTTGTCGACAAAGGGTGAGAGTGAGTGAGTTTGGTTCTACGCCCCTTTTAGCAATATTCCAGCAACGTCATGGCAGAGGACACCATAAATGGGCTTTTCACATTGTGCCCACGTGGGGAATCAAACCTGTGTCTTCAGCGTGAGGAGCGAACGCTTTAACCACTAGGCTACCCCACCGCCCCTTGTCCACATCTGTGTGAGTGAGATTAGTGTAACGCCACTTTGAACAGTATTCCAGTCATATCACAGTGTCTCAGTCAAAGTAATTCTGGTCTCAGACGTTTTCCACTTTGGTGAAACCCACAAGGACTGGTACGTTGGACAAACATAGAAACATAATTGATGTCAACCAGGATTCAAACACACAATCACAGGTTCCTGGTGTGGCCAAGGGAGGCAACTCTGCACAGTGAATGAGTGAGGTTTGTTTTTATGCCGCTTTTAGCAATATTGCAGGAATATCACTGCAGGGGACACCAGAAATGGGCTTCACACATTGTACCCATGAAGGGAATCGAACCCGGGTCTTCGGTGTTATGAGCAAACACTTTAACCACTAGACTACCCCACCGTCCTTCTGCCTCAAATAAGCAGGTCACCTATGCTCCTATCAAACTTAATGAGATATAAGCCAGTCTTGAACTTCACATTCTGTATAAAATAAGTTTTAATGTCTCTTAAAATACAGATTTATACACATGACATTGAAGAGAAGAGCCTACAATGCTAACTGAACGCGGAGATCGAGGTGAGGTGAAGTGAAATTGGGTTTAATGTCGTGCTTGAGAATATTTCGCTCATATGACGACGTGCATGCATGTGTATGTGTATGTGCGGCTGCTTGTACTAGCCCAGACTTAAGCTGGTTTTATAGTGCTAGCCTACTGAGATACCATGCTGCAGTGAAGCATGAATACCCCACTCAGACACATTATACTGATTCCGAGCCGACCAGTCCTTGTTGTATCCATTAATGCCGAGTGCCAGGCAGGGACCAACAAGTACCATATTTTAACGTCTTTTGGTATGACGCGGTCGTGGATCGAACCTGTGACCTTCCACTCTCCGGGCGGACCACTGCACCATGGAGGCGGTCTGCGGAGATCGAGACACAGGATATGTGACTTACACTACAAATTACAATCTTCCACGGTATGTACTGGTAAATTATGAAAATCAGAGATCTGAAGATGCCTATGCTTGATGTCAGAGTACTTCACTAAACTTGAATGATATTACTTTTAAACTACATAACATGCAATACAAGCCCACAGATCCTGTGGAGCATAAAGTAGAGTTGTGTTGTACTGGCATATTTGCTGCAAATACAGGTATTGACTGCTTATGCAAACAAGCCCATATGCACCATAGATTGTGGCACCTGTTTTCAAACATCAAAACTTTGCATAAACCCTGTTTTCAAAGTTCAACTTTCATAAATGTTTGTTCTGTGCTGTGTTTTTCTGTAAAACAAATATTTAATATCCACAAGAATATATGTACTGTCAAGAAAATTGTCAGGGACATGTAAAGATTACATACAGACTGGTCTAGTAGCTGGTCAGGCAGACCAACATCTAGTCACTAAAATGAACATATTTTACAGAAGAAACAGTTCCTAAATTAAAATCATAAAATATAATGAAAAGGAGCCTAGAGACATTCTTCATGTTCTCCTGAAAGTATGGAAATCTAGACTTGCCACATAATCTACACTTGCATGAGGTTTTTGCGGCTGTGTTTGTTTCAGGGTCTGTATGACAGACTGCTGGTCAGAATGCTCTTACTGGAGCAGGGTACTTATCACTTAATTATATCACTGCTGGAATAGCCAGTTCATTTCTTTTAATTACCATTTTAACAACAAAATTAATGGAACACATATTATTATTAATATATCAATAGATCTGTAGAAGATACACTGAGAAATGCCTGTAATATCAAACAATCAACAAAGACAATTATGATCAACATTGTGATTATATAACCATACATTAATATAACATTAATTATAGCCACATGAGTCATGGTGGCTGAGTCATGTGAGGTACAACAATTTGCTTGGGATATTGGTCAAAGTGGTGTTAAAATCTACCCACTCACTCACAAAAGCATGATAAATGATGTAAAAATATATGTGTCAAATGAAACAAAGGAAATATGCATTGGCTACTTTATACCCGATAAGTATTGTTACATAATAATTGTATTTGTAATGAATTATATTGAATATCAACAACATTGACCATTTCTTGATGATCAATGATTTTACATATTATTATTCATATTCTACAAACGTATCCGAGAGATCAGATACGAAATACACCCTACCATATAGATTACACAATTTGGCATATGTGAGAGCGATATTTACAATATGTACACTCATGCATACCATTTTCAGCCGCCAGAAGATCGGCAACTCTGATCCCACTGCTAATGGTTTGGGGAACACCTCCAAGAATCTATTATTAGTTCACAACATCACTTCCGCATTTAGTCCAAACGTGTGTTTCAAAGCAGAAGAATTCCAGTCAACGTGCTTCCTGTGTCATGGCTACTCTCGGCAGTTCGACTATGGATGGCGAAGGAGGAGTGTCAGAGGATGCCATTATACAACGACAAAAGAAAGAGAGAAGAGAATTATTAGGTACAACCATACTTGTTTCATATGCTTCTTTGTTTTACACTATTCGGAGTTTCAGTTTTTAGGTAGAAAATCAATTTTTGATGACCGTGCATTTCGGCAGAACTTTTACACCTTTTACTGTCGCTTCGTTCAACCAACAATCTCAATGTTTACAAATTACAGTGTAATCACAGTTTCAACATGTTTGATAACATTTAAATCATGCTTATCATCGTTTCAATGTCATTACAACCATAGCAAAGGTGTTCTAAGTCTGACGGTATATATTGTTCTGAAAACTGACATGCAGCAGTTCATGAAGATTCAAAGATAAAGCTAATTCATTTTGAAAATTTGTTGGAAAAATTCCCCACATTCAGTTTACACTGCCACAGTCAAAAAGCGTCCATTGTACATCAGCTTTCTTTGATAAAATCTATGTTCGTCAGTTGTTTGATTAACATTCTAGAAATTGGTGCGAAAATAACAAAGCATACTTTCTGCTAACATCTTTTTCTTTGTTGCAAAGAGGGATGTTTCGATTCAGATTCTTAAACTGTTATCAAGATATTTTCATCAGGGAAATGTGTTTTTAGTGGACCATACAAATTTGAACTCTGCCATAGAATACATCACAATCAAACTGTTTAAGGGCTCAAGGTGTACTTTTGTGTTAATAACATTAACAAGAAGATGAAAAAAGTCAACCATGTTTACGCTGATGGTTACAACAGAATGTAATGTTGTGATTTTACAATGTTTAATGAGACATTTCTTTACATGATAGTGAAAACATGAATAATCTTTATCACATTACGTCCTTGTGATGTAATACATCATGTATTTCATTGACATCAGGACCAACATCGCAGAAGAGGCTAAGATCAGCATTATTGCATTGAATACAATGTTCAGCCGTGGGAACCGTGCCAATCTAGACAACCAGTTGTCCGACTTTCATTCTGTACCAGTTGTCCGAAGTGTGGAAGTGGTGGCTGAGCGGATTAGGCGGCTGACTTTGTGTGCTGGCGATTTGGTGCCTGACTCTGAGGGTGTGGGTTCGAATCCTGGATGGGACTCCACCCAAAAAGTACTAGAATTTGTACTTTACTAAGAAAGTGTAATCCCAAATATAACATATGTTGCATTTGACCACTTTCTAAAATGGCATTGTGTAATCATCGTTATAATACAGCTTTAAAATAATTTTTTTAATTTAACAGCATAAAATGTTTCAATTTTGAAAAAAAAAAAATCATAAATAGATCCCCATATGCTTGCCTGATTCATTACTAAAGACTACAATGAATGTATTTGATGAAGGTATCAGTTTATCAGTGAACACGATCTGAGCCAGTAACCATGGTAACTTAAGAATTCAGGAGTTTGAGACTGGTTGAAAAATTTAGAAACTGGTAAAAAATGTTGATAGTACTTCTTACAGGAAAAGCCAATTAAATATAGATCAGCATCTCATCCATTTCTCAAAATTGTGAATTTACAAAACTACTAGAGGAAGATTAAGGTCATCATTTTTCAGCATTTTAAAATATATTTTGTTCAATTTTCAGCTCAGATTCAGAAGCTGAAGCACAGTGTACCGAAAGGTGACAAGAAGAAGAAGAAAGAGGTGACAGAGCAGGTTGCAGCACTGGAGGCAGAATTAACACAGAGACATGAAACTGAACTGGAGGAGTTTAAGAAACATGGTGCAAAGGTAATGTACAATCAACTTCATGTACCCCTCATTACAATCAGATCTTTAACTCTGATACGATTCCCCACTCTGTGAAATCAGAGAGTTGGCATCAAGGCTCCTCTGTATGAGTGTGTGCAGCATTTATTCAAGCATATTTACCCGTGAAGATCCAGGTTAGAATTGATCTTCAGTAACCCATGCTTGTCTTAAGAGGCGACTAACGGGATCGGGTGATCAGACCCGCTTACTTGGTTGACACATGTCATCGTATTCCGGTTGCGTAGATGATATTCATACTGTTGCTCACTGGATTGTCTGGTCCAGACTCGATTATTTACACAGCACCGCCATGTAGCTGGAATATCGCTGAGTGCGGCGTAAAACTAAACTCAATAACTCACTCACCATATTTCTGATCAGTAACAGAATTCCTCACCCTTATGAGTGTCTGATTGAACAGCTCTATGATATTCATTTCTAAAACAACCCAGACAAGAATATTGCTGGTAGAGAGTACTGGTGACAACGGACTAGCGATAGTGTACACTGGATTAACAAGGCTGGGGATTACATCAATACATGGTTAGATTTATGCATCATTCCCAGGTGTAGAAGGCTACTCATACTCTCAGCTGCTGATTTGTTCCATTTTCAAATATTAAAGGGGAATGTGTTGCCTAGCCACTTGTGGCACTGCAGTTCGATGTGCAGAGTGAGTGAGCTTGGTTTAATGCTGTTCTGAACAATATTCCAGCTTAATCTCTGTGTGTCGGGACGGTTGAGTAGCCTAGTGGTTAAAGCATTCGTGCAAATCATGCTGAAGACCCGGGTTCGATTCAACACATGGGTACAATGTGTGAAGCCCATTTCTGATTTGCCCCACCGTTATGGTGCTGGAATATTGCTAAAAGCTGACCTACAGATAATAATTTTAATGATTTTCCTGATTTGCCTCCCATGGTACTTTTGTAGAAAAGTCTTGATAAAGTTGGGCTATATACCTGTGTGTCCTGTTAAATGTTTGAGATATTTCCAAGACTGTGCATCTTCGTACAGGTAGAGGAAGTTATTGACAAGCTGGAACAGCTGGAATCTAATGATCAGGGGGAGACAACTCCTGCCCAGACAGATGCGGAAGCAAAGCAAAAGAAGGCATCCAAGGCCCAGAAGAGAAGGGTAGGTCATGTTGAAATTGTTCCTTAAAATATTTCAGCTTCTACTTATAGTCTTTCCTGATTTGCCAGGTGCTGATTTCAAGTCTACATTTAAATGTTTCATATGTTGTCAGTGAAACTGAAGCACAAGCTCTTTATGTGTAAAATATTTGTTACAACCAGTTGGTACCTCAGGAAGTTTTCTTGAGTTTGTGTTTTAACCATCCATGGAAAGATAAGTATGTTTGTAAAATCATGGTCGTGCTTGGTATAGTCATTCCACATGACTTGCAGTGGTCACATGAAGCAGACGTCATGTTGCCGTAAGTCTAACATCTCTGTACAACTTTGTGTAATTGCATCACAGAAGATAATGACATCATTCTAGACACCGCTTCTTTGCTGCAACTGACTAGAATGTGTGGAAAGGAAGTGTTTTCATTATTACAATAAATATCTGTAACTAGCTGTTAATGGTTACCGTCCATCTTGGGTTAGATAATCCACATCCGCTTGCTGCTTCCCGGGTGTAGTGGTTGGAGCGTCTGTCCGGAGAGTGGAAAGTTGCGGGTTAGATCCCCAGCCGCGTCATACCAAAAGATGGTACTTGTTGTTCCCTGCCTCGTGCTCAGCATTACAGGGTACAAGGACTTGGAGTCAGTACTTGGGTCAGCTTGGTGTCAGTGGGGTATTCATGCTTAATAGCAGCATGGTATCTCAGTGAGCTCTATAAAACTCTGGGATAGTACAAGTAGCCACACATACACACGCATGCAAAATATTCTTAAGTACAACGTTAAACCCCAATTCAGCCCACCTCACCTCACCTCACCCAGGGCCCAATTTAGTGCTTTGTTACTTGCACTGGTGCAACCTAATATTACAAAGTGCAACCTATTTATTAGTCTAACTTGAACCAGTAGCAATAGACCAATGCTTAGTCTCTGAATATATATAATTTTGATAGTAACAAACAAGCCCATTTAAATTGAAAAGGAGCCCCAGGGAGACCAGAGATTCAGAACCTGAACCTGAGGAAATCTAGACTTGCTTTATTTAGGGCTTTAGCACTGCAGAGAGGGCTTGGCAGTAGGGAAAATAATGTGGTTCAGGTACTGTGAGACAGACTACAGTAGCAAGTCAATTTTTTAGTGGGTAAACTTCTGAATAAAACATCTAAATAATTCAATAGCATATTTCTGATGTTACATATTGCAATAAAAACAGTGCAACTTATTTCTGATGTTACATATTGCAATAAAAACAGTGCAACTAGAATTTGACTGGTGCAACTAGGTTTTTATCTTAGGTTGCACCTTGTGCAAGTGGGTTAACATCTCTTAAATCGAGCCCTGTCACCACTTGCTGCCACATGTCCAAACAGTGAATGGACATACATGTACATGTTCCTTCTTCCTTGATATTACATTAGCATTGTGTCATAAAACCATGTTGCCTGCTCTCTCGCTGATTCACTTACCCTATCTCTCTAAAACCCCTAAAACAAACAAAGAATTACCCTCAGCTCAACATGAAAACATACTCAGGGAAGTTAAATGACCAGCTGCTTGATGGGACTTGATTGGATTTAGTCTAATGATGTAGATTTATCATTTCTGTGATGAGATTTCTGTGCGTACTGACACTGACATTACAGAAGAGAACAACCTCCAGCCTCCTATACTAATAACAGTGATGGACACGGCGATTGCATTAGGATTATCTCTGTCCACAGGAGGTGAGGTGAGGTGAAATTGGGTTTTACGTCGTGCTTGAGAATATTTCGCTCATAGGACGACGTGCATGCGTGTGTATGTGTATGTGCGGCTGCTTGTACTAGCCCAGACTGAAGCTGGTTTTATAGTGCTAGCTCACTGAGATACCATGCCGCAGTGAAGCATGAATACCCCACTCAGACACATTATACTGACTCCGAGCCGACCAGTCCTTGTTGTACCCATTAATGCCGAGTGCCAGTCAGGGACCAACAAGTACCATATTTTAACGTCTTTTGGTATGACGCGGTTGGGGATCGAACCCGCGACCTTCCGCTCTCCGGGCGGACATTCTAACCACTACACCACGGAGGCGGTCTGTCCGCAGGAGAGGTGTAACAATACATTTAGGCAATGATGCTTATCCCAATAATATTGCTGCAGTATGATTTGTATCCCAGTGCAGTACTTTTATTTCACAGCCCTGAATAATTTCTTTGATGGACATTTTAGAAATTGAGGTGATGAAGAATGATGACAATTTTTATGGATATACAACTTCTTTTATTCTGTGAAAGATGACGTTTCGACACAGATTCTAATGTCGCTTGCTTGACAACGACATTAGAATCTATGTCGAAACATCGCCTTTCACAGAATAAAAGAAGTTGTATATCCATAAAAATTGTCATCATTCCTGAATAATTTGTAGATCTATGTATTGTGAACCTCATATCATGATACAAAACTGTATTGCCATGGCACTTCACCAATAGTCCACTGTATGCTGAGACACTGGTATTCCAGGGCAGATTAAATAAAAGATTGACATGAAGATCACTTACCAAGGACATTAAATGTATTATGAATGATGTAGGAAAGGAAGTGGTTAAAGCGTTGGCTCGTCCACGAAGACCCGGGTTCGATTCCCCACATGGGCACAATGTGTTAAGCCCATTTCTGGTGTCCCCAGCCGTGATATTGCTGTAATATTGCTAAAAGCGGCGTAAAACTAAAACTCAGTCAGTCAGTCAGTCAGATATAGGAAAGGTTAGGGATCATGAATCTTTGTGGGGATATTTATTGTAGTGATGTCTGAGCACACAATTTCCTGAAAAACAAAATATTCCCCAAAATATTCATGAGCTGTGACCTTTTTGTTCAGATAATTAAACTGATATAAAATCTTGCTGTGTATGGATGACTGTGAGAAACCTGATGAGTTTCATGGATATTCCATGTGAAAGTCAGTTAAAGCATGGCGTATGCTGATATTGCATGTGTTAAATGCTTTTTGTTGTTTTTCAAGGTTGGAAAACTCAGGTTTTTATATTTATCATGATTTGAGTCATGCATATGTGATTGTGCTGCATATGAAATCACCTGAAAGGTGAAAGCCAGGTAAAAACATATTTATAGTTTTCAAATGAATATCTTGACCTTGTTGTTAATTACCTGCGGGCCATGTATTCATTGCTTTTATGAGGTTGTAAGGCAGACAATTGGAGATTTAAAGCTCGAGGTTACTAACAAGAGTTAGTACTTACGCTTGTTGGAGCAGATTGCTTGTTATTCCAACATGTTGGTAACATGAGCTTATACCCCAGGCTTGTTGTTGGAGCCTATTACTAGTTATTCCACCATGTTGGTAACATTGGCTTGTTGTTGGAGCCTAGATTATTCCAAAGCTCTAGAGGTTACTAATACCCCAGGCTTGTTGTTGGAGCCTATTACTAGTTATTCTAACATGTTGGTAACATGAGCTTATACCCCAGGTTTGTTGTTGGAGCAGATTACTAGTTATTCCAACATGTTGGTAACATGAGCTTATACCCCAGGCTTGTTGTGTGAGCAGATTACTAGTTATTCCAACATGTTGGTAACATGACCCCATTTACACAATTTCATTAAAACAGGTTTCTTCTTCATTGCTGATGAGGTCTGTTATAATTTTACATATATCATTACTGATAGATCTAGGTGTGTATGACAGATCTGGCATGTTAAATTCTGAGCACAACTTTTCAACTTCACTGTTGTCAAACGATTTCTTTCATTGTTTTGACCATTCAAACAGATTTTTTTTGTTGATAAAGCAATGAGAATTGAGTTCCGGTAACAGCTCAACATACATAAGAATCGCCTCAACAGTGGTATCTTGTAATATTGTATAAACTATGTATACAATATCTCCACATTGGTAATTTTCCGTTTTAAGTACTGACAAAGCTCTGTTCACACTTATAGATATTTCTGTGATGGTATACTTCATTTTAAGGCATTCCTTGACCCATAACCCAAAATATCATGTGAGTTCATATAGTCCAGTTAAATATCACAACATTGGAAATTATATAGAGGATATTATATGAGTGCCCATGTCATACTATGTTTACAACACGAGTGCCTAAATGTTGGTATTTCCCGAGCGAGAGCGAGGAATATACCGATATTTAGGCACGAGTGTCGTAAACATAGTATGATATGGACACGAATATAATATTCTGTTTATTACCGTCGTCAAATTGAAGAAAATAAACCCAAATCTACTTTCAAACATAGGCTGGCTACCCGCCGTCGCTGCATGTAGAACGCAACGTCACAGAAGAAACGTGACGTCATAGCATTGTTCATGACGTCACGTCACCATGGCCAAAGTGATATTTTGCCCTAGGGCATCGTATGAAAAATATGAACTCCGATATTTTTGCCCTCGTAGGTAATAAAAGATAATATGGGAACAGTTTTATTCCTGAAGTGCATCATCATTGGGGTTTTTTCTGTGGCAATATGGAGTCTCCAACTACAGGACCACTGTACTGTATTCATCATAGAGTGTTTATCTTCTGTTAGAGCTGTTGACATGATATCATCAGTATTGCAGTACAAATATACACACTATTGTCATTCTCCTGTATCTGTTCAGCCAAAACGTATGTATACAGTGAAGATAGTGTGGCAGACAGAGAGAGTTTGGTTTTACGCAGCTTTTAGCAATATTCCAGCAATATCATGGCAGGGGTCACCAGAAATGGGCTTCACACATTGTCCCCATGTGGGGAATCAAACCTGGATCTTCGGCGTGATGAGCGGATGCTTTAACCACTAGGCTACCCCACTGCCCTGTAGGAGTCAGAACACAGCCCTGCTGACCTCCCTCACTCACATGGACATAGTTATACAACTAAGACAGAGCTCACTACAGATTGCCCATTCAGATTAATACATGTAAAGTCACTTGTGATGCTGTCTTGGCCATTCAAAATGCAAAAATATCGATCAAAACAAATAACTATTAATCCTTCTC